CAATGATTCTGGTTTGCATTCTGTAACTTTTGTGATGGATTGTACGATGTGTTTGTCGTTTATCGCTGAAAGAGCCAAATTAAGTTAAAATTCCGTCACAGTATGTGATTTTCGGTGAAGGCTCTGTATGAAGACTTTATATTGCACGGTCCCCTGCAGATAGGCCTCTATGACAGTAGAGCATCAAATTATCTAAATAAAAACTTTAATATTTTTATACTAAAATAAGAGTAAAACTTGCTTCATAATTAAGAGGGTGTTTGGCAATGCGATACTTTTAAGAATTTGGCTTCTACTTTGAGTGGTAATGGTTTTACCCTTTTAGCATTTCAACTCTTGCTTTTCTCCACCACTTTTTTTGTACATAGAACATCGTTTCGAAAAAGCACTTATGAGGTGCTTTTGCTTTTTGCTTTTGTGAAATTACTTTATCCACAAGTTAATCACTACCAAACACCCTCTAAGTAAGACATCATTAAGAGTTTTAGTTCAATTAGTTTTGTATCAAAACTAAAAAGAAAATTAAATTATAATCTCTAAGGACTCCCCACCCCAATCCATCTCTTGTCTGCTGCTTGTTTCGTTATGACAATATCGTCACGCCAACATTCTTGTTATTCAATCATTGCATTCATTGAGTCATAATATCATCACGCGTCATTCAGATTCTATATAATGTCGCATTAACTTTGAGAAATTATTATCTTTCTAAATGTAACGAGATCAAAATAAAGACAAATGTCAAAAGAATGTCACCCACGAGTATAACGATATCAAAAAATTAGCAATTGTGTTTCTTGCAAGATCAAATTTGAAATCCAAAATAATTTCAAAATACTTGAAATATTAAAATAATGTAAAACATTTTTTTGTAATGCCAAATATTAATCTAATAGAAAATAAGTAGAGAATAAAATAAAAATTAGTATTTATAATACAAAGTACTTATTCAAACCGTTTCATTTGTATTATTCATTGTATCTAACAATTCAACTTAAATCGTCATGGCATTGAATTTAATCCAAAGTTAAAGTTGATAAGTAGGTTTTAGAGAGTTGGGGACTAGTACTATGTGATTCTTAATCTTACTTCATTATTAATTATATTTTGACTTTGTGCGCATTTTCTAAAGTTCACAAATCGAGGCAAAGAACTGCCGATGTACGAAACGTATGAACGTTTAAAAGATAGTGACATGAAAATGTGGTACAATAAGTGGGCTATGTAACAACATCTTTAATGCAGAGCTCTTAAGGAGTTAGCTAAATCAAAATAGTTCAAGTGGAGTTCATGTGGAACTTATGTGGAGCACGTACTAGTTGCTTCATTTATCAAATGAGCTACTTAGGGAAGGAACTGTACTTTAGCTTCGAACTCTCCCTAAATAACTCACGCTAAAGATGTTCTAAGCATCTTTAATGGGGATTGTTTAAGAGAGTTCTTAACTAAGCTACAGTTGCTTCAGTAAGCAATTATGTTGAAAAATGAAGCAACTAGTGCTCCACATGTGCTCCATATAAGCTCCACATCAACACTTTTAGTTGAAGCAACTCTATAAGCATCCTGCACTAAAGTAGCAGTAATTCTTTTTAGAAATGGGCTTTAAATAGTGTTGATGATGTTTCTATAAATATATTCTTGTTCTATTAGTTCCACACCTTACTGTTCTTTATGCATACAGCTTGATTATCTGAATATGATAGCTACAAAGATGAGGGTCTATATGTTGATGAAGAGGCGACGTGGTACTTTACATTTTTAGTAGAAGCAACTCTATAATATAAGCATCTTGTACTAAAGTAGTAGTAATTTTTTTTAGAAATAGGCTTTGAATAATTTTGTTGGTATTTCCATCAATATATTCTTGTTCTTTTAGTTACATACCTTACCGTTCTTTATGAATACAACTTGATTATCTAAGTATGATAACTACAACGACGAGAGTCTAGAGGTTGTTGAAGACGTGATGTGGTACTCAACTATCGATGGGCATGATAAAAAATTTGTATCCTCGGTGTCAAGGATCTTTCACGATCGATGGTTATTTAGCATAATTCATAGCCGAAACTCAATGCAATTATACTCCTTTCATTACCATTAAAAAGTTGCAAGTCGATAATCAAATGTTACAGAAAGGGGTTGAGACTCTCTAGTAATCGATTTATTTGTGCGTGTTCACCTATTGGATTGATTGATGTGTGATATATACGATAGTCTGAGTATATTTGTTGTAATGTACACTGAATTCCCAAAAAATGCTTAAATAGTAACCTAACATTTGTGGGTTAACAAATTAAGATAATGATCTAAATAAAGTGGACCTAATAAAACATCTTATACCGGTATGAACTTTGTAATGGGTAAAATCCAATAGTAAACCTACTTAGGGTTAATGGAATTTAACCTGGTTGTTATATAAAGATTAAGACGTTAGTCTCCCAGACTAATCTCACAACTACTTTTCCTCCCTTGTTCCCATCAATTGAGATAGATCTATTGAGAGTGAAGATTAGTCTGTAAAGGATCATATTCTTTCTCAATCATCTATTCTAATGATATGAAATCTGAATATCTAGTTGTTTACTTCATAGTCTTGATATGTCACATAACTCAACTTATTGATTATGTTCCAATGATTCTGGTTTGCATTCTGTAACTTTTGTGATGGATTGTACGATGTGTTTGTCGTTTGTCACTGAAAGAGCCAAATTGAATCTTGTTGTAGCTGCCAAAGTTCAAATTCTGTCGCAGTATGTGATTTTCGATGAAGGCTCTGTATGAAGACTTTATATTGCAGGGTCCCCTTGAGATAGACCTCTATCTGCAGTGTTCGAGAAATGCATAGGTTCTAATGACTGTATTTTCCACATAGCTTATGCAGTGTGTGAGGTTGAAGACTGTGAAAACAGGCAATGGTTCTTATGACTGGTGGGTGATAACTTGGACCTCGAAAGGGATATTGTATTTTTCTTTATGAGCGACAAACAGAGGGTATGATTACATTATAGTGTTGTGCATAATGTGTTCATATGTTTGTGCGTTAGACAGTTATACACCAATTATAAAAATCAATTGAAGGGAAGAGAGTTAAAGGACTTATTGTGAGATGTGTAAGGGCTTCTTATCCAGGTAGGGTAGTGGGTGCTTAAATTCTCTTGAAGAGAAGTGCCAACCAAGAATTGGTTACGGACATCTTTTAGCACTTTCTCAAAATGTGACATGTTAATCAATAACTTGTGTGAGTCCTTCAACAAGTACATATTAGATGCAAGGAAAAAACCAATACTTATCATGTTGGAGATGATTCGGACTAAACTCATGAATAGGTTCGCTACTAAGAAGAAAATTATGGGCAATGTGAAGGATACTTTATACCCTAAGATTATAGCCAAATTTGCAAAAAATATTAAACATGCACACTTTTCATTCTTACTTTCTTAGGAGGTAGTAAGTATCAATATGTTGTGGGTTACAATATGTTGTTGATCTGGTTAAAGAGACTTGTAGTTGTAGAAGGTGATATTTGACTGACATTCCTTGCTCACATGTCATTGGTTGCATTCTTGATAACAATAAGAACCCAGACCTTTACACAGATGAGCAATATTTGATGTCCAACTACCTACAATTATATAGTGACTACATAAACCATGTGAGCATGATGGAAATGTGACCCAAATATGAAAATGGACCTCATGTCATCCCACAAGCAGACCCACGTAAGAAGAGGGAAAAAACAGAAGGTAAGGAGGAAACAGTCTCAAGAAGTTGAGAATGGAAAGGAAAGGAAAAATTTGCAGCATGTCTCAGGTTCTGAAGCGCCAACATCTAGGCCAGGTGAACCCGTGAAATTGAGCAGAAAAGGGAATGTGAAAATAAAGTACACTATATATGGAAAAGTTGGCCACAGTAAAAGGTCACATGCTAAGAAGGATACGACAGCTTGAACACAACAGGTAAATTCATAACCTAATATAAACTCTATTGCTTTGTATATGTTCATTTCTATAAATGCAAGTACATAATTTATGGACTATGCTAATTACAGAATATAGGGAAAACTAAATCTACAAGGGATGATGAGAGGAAGAAAAGGAAAGCAGCTACTGAAATAGATCAAAAAGGAGAAAAGCAGCTCCCACTAGTGATGATAATGAAGATTGAGAAAGGTGCTCTTGTTCATTGTATTTTTTTTGCTTGTTTGTGAATCATGAATATTGTAATGAGTGTATGTTTACAACATTTTGAACTATTTGTATGACTACATAACAAAATAAAAATATGTCTTGCAAAAACCCATTCATGGAAGTAATCTCTCAACAAAATTGAGAATTTTATAACACCTACCCCATAATTTGAACAGCCTAGGAATTTTCTTCCAAGATTTGATTCAGTCCAAGTTGTCTTCACTACAGCCTTTTCACCGCATCTACACCTCGCTATAAACTGGCGATGGGTGTTGTTGCTTGAGACGCTGGACATTATCTAAATTAGGATTTTTGTAATTTACAGAGAAAGGGGTGGCGATTTTAGAGAAGAGCCGTAATATAAACAAGTAACGAAAGAGAGTGGTAGAGAACTAATGCGTGCGCCCAATCAACATCCACATTAGATTATAACCAGCAATTAAGCTGAAAGTGGATAAATAGACTTTTAGTGAAAAAATTATGTAAATCAAGGTATTTTTGTGAAATGTTTTAAAGTTCAGGTACCAAATCAAAATTCCCGTGAAAATTCACGTACCCTTGCTAAAATTTACCCGTTAATGGACCATGGGTGAACAAAGCCCAAAAATTGGTGTTATTATGATACGAAGTAGAACATAAAGTTTGTTTGCAAAACTAAAACTCTCAATGTCCCAATTTAACTTAATTTGAGACAGCTCAAAAAAAAATAAGGAAAATTAATTTGTTTGAGACAGGGAAAGTAACACCAAAAATTTGCATACCATTCGCAAAATTTCACAAGATGCTTGAAATACTACAAAACTTTCAACACAAATGAAACAAATATAGTAAGCATTATAATAAACATTAGTTAACTTTCATGTTCAGAAAGTCACACAGAAGAACAAATGGGCGATAAAAACCTTCAACGCCACATGTACAAGAAAATCAAGAACATTGGCTCCGCCATACTTACGCCGTCTATAGAAAAAACAAAAGGGAGTATTTTTTTTCAAAAAAAAAGATCATTATTTAAATTAAATATTAAAAAAACTAGTATTCGATATGCGGGTGTGACCGATCCCTAATGGAAGAAGGTATACATATAAGTCAATAATGTATTTAACAGAATGCAGTGGCACGCGCAGAGCCTATTGACCATTTGGAGGATTGCCTAGAAGGCGATCCACTGCAGCATTAACATTCCCTGAAGTAGCTGTGAGAGCCCTTATGTTTTCTTGCGCATCAAAGAAGCCCATTTCTTGTAACTGTGCGAGCTGAGGCGCGTACCGTTCTTCAGGTGGAACTGTGAAAAAACAAATATTGATTTTATACACATACAAAAATAGAAACCATGCCTTAGAAAAAGAGACAAAATGAATGAAACAAGTCCAAGAAAAATGATGCGAACCGTTAGGTCCATTGAGAAATCCAAAGCCACCTGACCCAAGTCCACCAAACATATTCATCAGCATATCTAATCCCATATTTTCAGGTGCACCTGCCAGAGAATAATGTAAAGAAAATGATGATGTAGAAGGTACTTCTTTGTTGAAATTGCGGAAAATGAATTAAAAGTACACTTCAGCTTTAATTTTGGATATACTTTTCTTTAATATATTTGGGTTGTCATGGGCAGTAGGTCCCTTTGGCATCCCACATCAGATATGGATGGTCTAGGTGACAGTTATATCTTATATGGGACCAAAAGTTTTCTCAAAAACCTTTTGAGATAAGTCCAATCCAGTCACTGTTTTTGGGAGTGTGTGTGCACAAGTGTCTATGTTACTCCATTCAAAAATTCAATCTCACAGGCTAGAAAAATAAAGGTGTGAAGCCTTTCATGGGTTGTGGGTGCATGATGAGGGCTGCCGTGGGCAGGGCCCTTTAGGTATTGTGTTTGTGTTTCTCCATTTGAAAAACAAAAGATTATTATAATACTATTCGTTCATTCAGTAAATTCAGACATTTCAATTTTAAAAAACCCCATAAAAATTGGAATCTAAATATATAAAAGCAAAATTATCCCTTATGGAATTGCTTTGTCAACTAGCATGGTGTTTGCAACTATAAATGAACCATATAAAAATACCTGCTCTTCCACTGTTTGGGCCTGTTGCTCTGCAAACGGTAAACAATTTAGTAAGAAAATATGATAACGAATGCTTATTTGCAGTATAATGGTAATCAGGTCATAGGACAACTACATATAAAGTAAGTAAATGTCAGGAACTCCCTTTAGGAAATAGGAATGAGATGACTGCTAGAAATATGTTGAAAAATTACTATGGAGTAATGCTAATTCCCAAATCTCTTTTTGATAATGAACTTCCACCCCAAACAAAACATATATTCTAAATTCTGTTTAACTTACTGGTTTGTCTGCTGCCGACCAAACTGGGACGCAAGAGATTGCTGAAACGCCAACATTTGCTGAAACAGGATGGGGGAAGATATTAGTCTATGGAGCTAACCATTGAAGATAGTGCATTACATTCATTGTTTTATTCCCATGAAAGCATTCTATTTCTGACTGAGAATAGATAGCACATGCATCTACACTCGCATCGGTGAAGGGAAAATACTCAAAATAGAAAACCTTAAGTGCACTTCATTGCATTCATAGTTTTGTGCCCACAAAAGCATTCTAATTCTAACTGAGAACAGATAGCACATGCATCCATACACAAATTGGTGAAGGGAAAAAACTCAATATAGAAAACCATAACACGGGAAAAGTTGTATCACCGTAAGACAGAGAAACCTACAAGTTGTGATAAAGACACACAGGAAAAGTTGTATCACCGTAAGGCAGAGAAACCTACAAGTTGTGATAAAGACATACTCCCTATGGCTATGTCCCACAATTTTTGTCTCATACCATATCTAGAAACATTTGTGTGGCTCATATTCATTGTTATCGTTCCTTTCTAACTTCAATATCAACTACATAACTTTATTTTTCTTATTGTGTCACATCTTACTGTCCCAAAAATAACAGGACTGAGAGAGTACTAAAATATCATGTGTGTTCTCAACACTGCCCATCGGAAGGTTGAACATGCAGTTGAAGGCCCAAGTTGTTTACTTTCAGGTGCAACCAGCCACTGAACATCAATTGGAAATTAAATTATTGTTTCAACAATCACTGATAGATCCATGCTTAATTAATGACTTCAAATATATTTCAAAACACTATCGCATCATATTCCGTAAACAACTAGGCAATCATTTTATAGAAAATAATAGATGGAAGCACCGAGACCGCCCATTCCACTGAAATGTAAACCAAACCAAACCAAACCAAACAACCCCAATATATCCCACACAAGAGCAGGATCTGAGATAAAGGTACATGGTAGGGATGCAACACAGGGGGGTGTCAAAAAAAATGAGAAAATAGCATATAGCAAAAAACACATTTGCCATGGGAGAGAAATTCATATTTATACTCCACTCTATGGCCTTTCCTTCTCCTTTATAATCCTATTTCTCTCAACTTTCATTAATTTCCCTTCTAAACTTTATTAGGATTGTTATTTTTATACTCCCTCCGTCCCTCATAGATCTTCCCATTAACCGTATTACTTGTTATTTTAACACACAAAATACCCTAAATACCCCTCTTCCATTTCTTTCTTTTTTTCCCATTTTCGTCCGCCACTTTCTTACTTCTTTCTTTTTCCTTTCTTCATTTCTTTCTCCCCCCATTTTTTCCCGCTGGTCTGTCCAGGTTTCTTCTTCTCTCTTCCCTTTCTTCTTCTTCTTTTCTTCTTTTCTTTTTTTTTTCTTCTCATTCTCGTTTTTCTCTTTCTTCTTCTTCGCCGTCTAGATCTGCATGGTGAGGGTAAGGGCAGTGGCGGCGATGGCGGGGCTGAGGACGGTGGTGACGATGGGGGAATGGAGATGGCGGCGACGATGGTGGGGATGAAGGCGGCGGCGATGGTGAGTCTAGAACTATATTTCTTCTCTTCTTGTTTTCTTCTTCTTCTCTCTCCCCTTCCTTTTCCTCCATCTATTTTCCAGATCTAGACCACAATCACGGCGATGGTGAGACCACAGGCGGTGGTGGGGTTGACGATGATTGTGAGGACTAGGGTGAAGGTGGGGCTGGCGGTGAAAGTGGAGTGGCAGTGGTGGTAGCAGCGGCGGTGGGGGGGGAGGTTATGTGCGGTGGTAACAAAGCAGTAATAGGAACAGGTTAACTGGTCAGAGGCAGAGCAAGGAGGGGCAAAATGGGAAAGTCACAAGTCTTTTTAACACTCCTAAAAAACCATGAAAAGTCAAATTGAGAACATCTTACATGGACGGAGGGAGTAAGAATTTACCACTAAACGCATACCCAGAGTCAGTGACGCACTGACAAGACCGGACTAATCTTTAAAAAGTTCCAATTATCAGATAGCCCTTCGCCGCGTATAACTCAATAAAAAGTTCCAATTATGAGATAGCCCTTCACCCCGTATAACTCACTCACAACTTCGCACAACCATTGTGGAATCCTAAAAGGGACCTGCCCATCGGCCCTCGTCACGCGCACACAACAATATAACACGGTCCTGTGCTAATGAACTCAAACACCCTCATTATGGTTATTATTGTATGCTAATGTAACACAATTTCATATGCAATTTTCATGAAATACACTGTAAGACCATTTCTCATGGATAAACGCAGACAGTCAGTCATCCATGCTCATTAAACACACATGGTAAGACAATCTACCTGCATCATCTCAGGGGATGTCATTTGGCGAATGAACTCAGGGTTTTGCATCATCTCCCTTAGTTGGGAATTGGAATCAAGCATGTTTCGTAATTGTGGGTTGAGGCCAAGAATCTAAAAATTATAGCAAAGAACTTAGAAAAATAATATATGCGACAAATCTGTGGTGAAAGAGAAACGAAAAGGAAATACCAAATCATGGGGTAGTCAGCAATGCATAAAAATTGATACCTGATTCATGTACTGAGGATTAGAGAGCAGAGACTGCATCATCTGTGAAATAGCAGGATTCTGCATCATCTGATTTACAGCATTGGGATCTGGCATAGCACTTAAAAGATCTGGTAGTCCAAGTCCACCTAAGCCACTTAATGCTGTCCTAGCTTCCCCAGCTGGGGTTGACCTGGCTGTTGTATTAGTCTGTTCAGTTCCAGCTGCAAAATCCAAATAAAGAAAAAAGAGGCAAAAGAATAATCAAGAGATCTGATATGAACATAAATAACTACTAAGAGTAGTTAACTAGTGCAGATATGTATTCCATGTGGAGCAAGGAGCAATTAATATGAAGAAGCATACACTCTCTATAGACTTCCTCAGTTAAATAACTATTTAGACTTAATTCAAAATGCATCAACCAGTTCAACATTTCTATTTCAAATATTTCAAAATAAAATTTTATGAATACTGATGACTATTTCTTATAATTAAAAAACAGGATGAAATGTGAAAAGACACTATCAAGGGAAGCCTACAGCACTCAGCATCCACTGAAAATTTGACAGATAGGCAAACAGCATCACATATCTAAATACCAATAATCTATTTCAGCTTTAAATGCAAAAATAGCTGCTGAAACCTACACACAACTAAGCATGAAAACGTATTCTGATTAAGGGGTAGATGATTTGAATATATAATTACTATTATTATTATTAAATGATAGAAAGCTTACTGCCAGCAGAGGCCCAAGGATTAGGAAGTGGATTAATATTTGGAACAGGGGGATTGGTAGTGTCTTCAGATCCTGCTCTTGGGGGATTGTTTGTTTGATCCCTAGCTTGCACACCACCCTGGACACCCAAGAGAGCTGCAAAAGGGTTTGACCCCACATCACTTCTTGTGTCCCCAGCCATGGTTGTTGCATTCAAGAATGGCTCTTGAACAGTTTCATACATGCGCCTGAGCATGTTAAATCCCTCTGGAGAAGATTCAATATTGCTCATTGCTCTGTCAGTATTACGCATCATCTCTCGCATGAGCTCAGGGTTTCGTGCAGCTTCCATGGTTTGTCGTAGAGTGGCAGGATCATTTAGTATGTGAGCAAGCTCTGGATTTCGGTCCATGATCTCCCGCATTTGAGGATTATTCATGATCATGTTGCGGATGACTTCTGGATTATTCATTAAATTCTGGACAAATGGTGCATTCAAGATATCTCTCATCATGTTGGGGTTTTGATTCAACTGTTGCTGAACTTGTTCAAAATCTGGAAGTCCAGCTCCAAATAAACCACCACCACCACTACCAAGTCCATTCAAATTGAGCCCAGGGAACAGCGAAGCTCCAAGACCTGATCCTCCTAATGCTCCGCCAACATTCAGACCAGTATCCCTAGGTGCATTTTGATTAGCACTTGGAACTCCAGGATTAGTTGCAGCTCCATTATTTGTAGAGGGGGGTGGAGCAAAGCCACGAACCAAATGAACAGTGTGATCAGCCATCAAACCTGCCAAACACGCATAAAAAGATAGGTGAAGACCTAAGAAATATATGGCTACAGGTCTCCAACAGCCCATAAAGATCCATATGCTTAAACGTGATCAGTGATTTAGTAGCCAGTACATCTAATATAAATAAACAGTTAAAAGCACGTATGCAGCATAAAGAAGCATGACGCAAAAGAAATTATTTATTGTAAGTTAAAATTTCAAGATCTAATGATGTAAACATAATGTAAGTAGTCATTTAGATTTTTACTTACTTTCACCCACTTGGTGATGGAATCCAGGGAAACAATTGCTGGAGCAAATAAAACAAATAGATGGCGATATGATCAATTAAATAGTAGCCCATATTGATTTTGTGGGTGGATTGGGTTCTTGTGTAAATAAAAATACATGTACATAATTATATACTATGTATGTAATGTCACCATATTTTCCAGTCACTTTCTACTCACAAGAGCTGTAAATATTCAACTAGCATAATTGCAAATGTCTTCAAGCTTATTGAAGAGTATAACAGAAATACAACATCATTGCAAAATAATCAAAAAGCATCTAGAACAACCAACATGATTCTGAGTTGCTAACTTTCTTCTATTCAGTGTTAGACTATCTGGTACTGATGTGCAACCAACCTAAGTCTACTTTCCCTACTTCAAAGCAACTACTTATCTACTCCATGAAACATTTATGCATGGTGTAATCATCATTACTGCATGAACATATACTAAAAATGCTACAATTTTGCCCACAATTCTCAATTCTCGAATCTAAAAATGATCAATTAATCCACCAACATTATTACTTATAAGTTACACCGTGCTGTACCTACAACCATAACCACTCAATTACAAATATTTAAGAGAAGTGCAATATCCCTTATGGAATCCAACAAAAGATCACAGATCTCAAATATGCAGAGGCTCGCATAGAATTAAAAAACCAGTTAATGATTTATAGGAACCGTTGAATAATCGAACCCTACTATAATTTATTCTCGGATTGCATCCAGGCATCGGCAACCAATCACATCGGGTGCACGGAAAATGGCTAAAGAGGTTATTATTAACGTACCGTAGCTATCTAGGGTTTGATCATCCTTCAAGATCCGACCCTTGTAGATCAAGCGCTGCTGCTCGGCAGGGATTTCACAGCGCTGAGAGATGTCCGACTTGAAGGACGCGACGGAAGAAGTGAGGCAGACCTGCACTGAAAACTTGGAGCCGTTGGAGCATCGGATGTTGATAGTCACAGCTCCGCCGCTATCGGAACCGGGGACAGCGGTCAAGCTGCCCTCGTTGTTCTTCGAATTGTCACCGTCGCTGTTCGCCGCAACATCAGCATCGCCTCCGCCGCCCATATTCTTCAACTCAACAAAGATGTGACTTCCGCGACAACTCCAATTCGTGCAGGCCGGAATCCAAGGAGAAAGATGCGAAATCTACTTTCGGTTCAATTTAGAAGACCCGATTGATGCCCAGTTCTCGGGTGTAAGCGGAATGGGGAGGTCCTAACTCCTAAGCTCCACATTTAAGGCCCACACTATATAATGTTACTTTCTCATATTTTTTATATAATTATATATCAAAGATGAATGAACTTCTCACCTGGGAGTGGTAGTAAGCCCACTCTCCAGGATTCATGGGAAAGTTCATCCAGGTTCGAGCTCCAGCAAAGGCAACAGCATTGGCTCTTTGAAAAAAAAACTAAGTATGTAAAAAAATTTGAAAAAAGTAAGAAAATTATGCGATATCATTAAAATTTTGTATGAAAATATAAATTTATACATTCAGAATGAGTAGTAATTAAATAAATATAATTAAAATCTTATTTTTATAACATTATATTACATATTATATTAAAGCACATTATTTTGAAAAATTCTTACATTGGCGGGTCGGTCACGTCGAGTTCGAGTTTAATTGGGTTTGACCTATTTTTAACAGGTAATTTCGGGTTCGGTCAACTTCGGGTTCGGTCAGCAAAGTCTTTGTTCAAAACCTAATATTTTCAAGTCGGGTCTCGAGTCAAAAATAGGTTGGGTCATTTTTTGCCAGGTCTACTTGGCAGGAAAAAAAAAGGTCCTCAAACTCAAAAAACCATTATATGGTTTGAAGCAGGCTTCTAGACAATGGTATGCAAAGCTTTAGGCTATGTTGAGATCCAAAGGATATACTCCTTCTAAGAATGATTATTCTGTTTTCACAAAGAGAACAAGTTCTTCAATTATTCATTTTGCTGTGTACGTAGATGATATTCTTATCACTGGTAATGATATAGAAGAAATTACTGCTCTAAAGCTACATTTATATACTGTTTTCAGAATCAAAGATCTGGGCAACCTTAATTATTTTCTAGGACTAGAAGTCCTTTATCAACGTGAAGGAATGATAGTCACTCAAAAGAACTTTATAATTGATCTCCTCAATGAATTTGGTTGTCCCACAAACAAAATCGTGATTTGCCCTTTAGAAGCCAACCTTCAGCTGTGTCTAGATGTTGGGCCTCCACTATCTGATCCTTCATCTTATAGATGCCTAATATGAAAATTAAATTTCCTTACACACACAAGACATGACCTTGCTATGTAGCTCAGTTTCTCAATGAATGCATGCAAGACCCCGGCTTTACACACTTTACACTATCTCAATGGCAATCTTTCTCAAGGATTATTCTTTAGCTCCACTCCTAATTTCAAACTAGAAGCCTATTATGACTCAGACTGGGCTGCTTGTCATACGTACTACTCGTATATTCGTCAATGGATATTTTGTCATATTGGATGTTCCTGATATCTTACCATTCTTGTGAAGTGTGATAATAGAGCTGTCATTTACAAAGCCACTAATTTCGTGTATCATGAACGTGCCAAACATATTGAGCTCGATTGCGATTTCGTTCATGAGAAGCTACAAGAGGGACTCATCATTCTTGATCATGTCTCCACTCATGCTCAGCTCGTTGACATGTTCACCAAGAGCATGCCAAACCTATATATCAACGAATTTTTCCCAAGTTGTGGGTTGGTTCACCCTCCAACTTAGGGGGTGTTAGTAGATAAATCCATTTGATTTGTTTTCTCTTATTTGCTGAGTTGGACAAGTAGATGATGTGACTTAGAGTCCCTTTGTATAAATACTTGCTTTTGTTGTATTTTTCAATAGTTGAAAAAATCTTATCATATATTTTCTCTCTCCTTTTCGTTAGATCAGTTCCTATTTTCACACTCAGCGTTCTTCTTCTCTTCATAAAGATATCTCTGAAATCTTCATTAGACTCATGAAAATCAACATAGGTAGAAACACTTATAGCCTAATTGTAATCTGAGAAGAGTACATAGAGATATTACACAATATGCTTTTAAAGTGATAGAAATCGGATCCCATTAATAAGGGTTACAAGTGTATTTATAGTGTAGCTAAGTGACAGGCTGGCGGGTTCCCATGCTGGTCACTTACTAGTCATGTGACGAGGTGATGACCCTTTGTCTTGTAGCCTTCGTCTCTTTTCCCTGGCTGCCAAGCTCTATAGCTATCCTTTTGGTGTGTAGTGTTTGGCTTGGATGCTTGAAAATATCTGTTAGTGCAGGGGAATCCAGTCTGACTGAGTTGCTTCCAAGTCACTACCCTCCAAGTATGCTAGGTTGTTAGTACATACACTAGTCCCAATGACTCACCGAGAGGTTTATCGAAAAATGTCTTGATGATCTAAAGATCTCTCAAGCAAGGCGTGTTTCCTTACCAACAGTGCCGCGTGGGCCAACCCACCCAAGTGGTTTGCAACCCAATGGGTCAGGTTTGGATTCGTCCCAATTACCCTATGACAAACCGTTCATGGATCACCCGGTTGGTTTCGGTGGTACCCGACTCGGGTCGGGTCTTGGTTGAGAATACACCCATCAATTGCAGTGGCAGATTCAATAATTAAATGACCAGGGGCACTATCATTGTAAAGATTATGATGGGGGTTCACGGGTTATTTTTTATATGACATTTATGATGATAAAAAATGAGCAAATTTTATATTAAACAAGTATTTATTCAAATAAACAAAAAAATTAAAAAATAGGAAAATATAATATGAAATATATCATAACCTAATATAATTATGATTATTTCAAATACTTAATCTCTATATTTTATTTAAACAAATATTACCTTTTTTGGACTGAACATTTGTCTTGGACTGGGGCATGTAATTTTTTTTTACAAAGGGCACTCTTTTTATTTGCTTGAATTTTGTAGCATTATATATAAAAAATATTGCCCTCTCCGCCTCTCATTAGCTAACATATGCATCTGTTAGTGGTTTATTTTACATTCGACATACACATAATGTTCAATTCAGATATTCAATAGTCAATATTCATTATTCATTATTCAACATTCATATTCATCATTCACATTCAACATTCATAGTGTCAACAATGCTCATAAACTATTCTTAGTCTAAGACCAATTTAATTCGTAAACTAATTCTAGTTTAAGGTATTCCTAACCAACCCTTAAGCTAAGTCTAGTTTAAGATAAAGATTTTCAAAAAGGTTTTCAAAATCTTAAACTTACATTCGATTAAGGTTAACCAGAAACCGAATAGTAGAATGTTCATTGTCGGGTGGGTGGTACCCCCAAACGAGTAGGTACTCAAGTTTGGTTTGTAGATCACGTACGTACGTTTTAACCTTGGTCACTAGACATCATACTCGCAAGGCCTAACTAAATGAGTATATCTTAGAGTTCTTCTAGATTCTCTTTAAAATCAACATCACTATGGGTATATCTTAGAGTTTTTCTAGATACCCTTAAATTCAACATACACTATAATCATCAATATATTCATTTTTAAGTCATGGTTCAATCATTCACAATAATCATTTTAATCAGTTGGTTCATCAATTCATAATAACCCATAGTAATCATTCATCATATTCATCAATCAATATAACATCTAATAACAAATAGCGACCTACATCGAGTGTTAACATCCTAGCTTACCGTCATGCATCACATAAGATTTTATTTGTCAAAAACATAATTTTAATTGTGAAAAATTATTTTTATATTATTCATAATTGACTGGTATCAAAAATAGGATTTTAGAGCTCAAAAATAATATTTTCAGAGCAAACAGGTCGGGGGATCGATCTAGTACCTAGGATCGACCCCCCTAGAAGAAGTCTCCTAGGTGATCGATCCAGTAGGGTAGATCGATCCACCCTCTGGTTTTTCGATCAGTGTTCATCTTCTTCTCCCTTTCGGGTCCAATTTTGAAAATATCATTTTTAGTCACCAAACTTCAATTAAATTATATAGAAATGTTCTCCAAGGTTCATAGATCGTTTTGGTATCATTAATTCATAGTTTTAACAACAATATCAAGGTTTATGATTCTTGATTCTTCAAGTATGTCAAACACAAAACTCAACCAAACAACCATTTATGAATGTAGAAACGATCTATACGAACATTCTAGTCACTAGATATATCTACGGGCTTAACTCGAAGCTTAATGAAGGTTTTGGAAATTTTCCAGGGAAACTCCTGGCAACGATAACTCTCCGATTTGGTGTCTTCACACCAAATTGACAGCAACACTGCGTTCCCCACACTCAAAACTAACTCTGAGAAGAAATTTGAGAAGAAGTGGTGAAGGATTGAGAAGAAGTGGTGAAGGATTGAGTAGAAGAGGTGGTCTTATATAGAAGAGCTTGGAAGATGAAGGTGGAGAATCTTGCGTCACCTTTCCTGTATGAGTGGATAGTGGAGTGGGCTGCGTTATTTTCCAGATTCCAAATGCAAGTCCCTGATTGGGACTAATTTGGTCGCAGTCGGGATACACTTTTTGGTCTCAGTTTTTTCGAATTGAAATCCGATTGAACCGTTGGGGTTAGACAGTCAAGCTCTACATAATGATATAATTTTCATTATTTATTGACAAATTTTATAAATTACTTATTTTTGGGTCCTTCTCAGTAATTAATTAATTATCAATTACTCCCTCTGTCCGGAAATGTTCTTCCCATTTGACTTTTTACGGTCTCCAAGATTGCACTCTGACCACTAATATCTTTATTTATACATGGATATATTTAATAAAAATCTGATATTTGAAAACTATATTTCAAAATGAATATATTCATATTAAAGTTATATCTTAATACAATGTATTTTTTCCACATATCATAGTCAAAGTTTAGAAACTTTGACCAAGAAAAGTCAAATGGGAAGAATATTTCCGGACGGAGGGAGTAATTAATTCTGATAGGCCTATTTTCAGGGCGTTACACGTTTCATATGATAATTTTCTTTCATATACTTAGAATTTGCACAATATGATATTAATAAGTGAGAAAAACCAAAATAGCACTCTAAGAGCATTAAAATACTCTAAATAGCAGTACTATATGTTTCATACCTGTAATTCTGATTTTTTCCTTTAATTAAACAGCAAATGTTCATTATTCACTGCAAAAAATATGATTATTTTGGGCAGTGTGGTTGTTCACTCGTAATTGTGTAGTGGGCACTGTGATTTTTTGTATGTG